TCGGCTCAAGTCATGATCTTACAGTTTGTGGGTTCGAGCCCCGCATCAGGCTCTGTGCTGACAGCTTGCTCAGAGCCTGCACCCTACTTCAGATTCTGTGTCTCCTCTTTCTCTGCCCCTCCCCGGCTCATGCTCTGTCTCTCTCTGTCTCTCAAAAATAAATAAATGTTAAACAAAATTAAAAAAAAAAAAAAAAAGAAAACAAGCAACCTGATTTTTTGTAAATGGACCAAAGGCCTTAATAAATACCTCACCAAGAAGACATAGAGATGTCAAATAAGCATATGAAAGATCAATGCTTCACATTAGATGTCATCAAGGAAACTCAAATTAAATTAATAATGGGATACCACTATACAACTACTAAAAAGGCCAAACTCCAGAACTCTGACAACACCAAATACTGGTAAGGATGCAGAGCAACAGAAACTCTCATACAGTGCTGCTGAAAATGCAAAATGCTACAACCACTTCTTACAAAGTAAGAAACTTACAAGTTTCTTACAAAAGTAAACATTTAATTCAGCAATTGTGCTCCTTGGCATTTACCCAAAGAAGCTGAAAACTTATGTCCACATAAAAACCTGTACATGGATGTTTACAGCAGTTTTACTCATTTCTGCCAAAACTTGGAAGCAGCCAAGATATCCTTCAGTTGATGAATGGATAAACTATGGTACATCCAGAAATGGAATATCATTCAGCACTAAAAAGAAATGAGCTATTTAAGCCATGAAAAGACATGGGGAACTTCAATGCATATTACTAAGTGAAAAGAGCCAATCTGAAAAGGCTTTAAGATTCCAACTATATGACATTCTGGAAAAGGCAAAATTATGGAGACAGTAAAAAGATTAGTGTTTGGGGAGGGTGGGTGAATAGGCAAAGCACAGAGCATTTTTAGGGCAGTGAAAATATATAGCGGGTACATATCATTTTGCATTTGTCTAAACCCATGGAAGATACAATGCCAAGAGTGTATAATGTGGACTTTGGATGATAATCACGTGTCAATGCAGGTTCATCAATTGCAACAAATGTACCACTTTGGTGGGGAATGTTGATAATCGGAGAGGCTATACACGTATGAGGTCAGGGAGTATATGTGAAATCTCTCTGCCTTCCCCTCAATTCTACTGTAAAGCTAAAACTGTTCTAAGGAATATATATATATAGAATATATATAGAGAGAACATATATATATATGTAGGCTATATATATAGACTATATATAAAGAATATATATACATATATATACAATATATATACAATATATAATATATGTGTGTGTGTGTGTGTGTGTATATATATATATATATATACACACACACACACACACACACACATATACACACACACACACCCGCAATAATACCCTGGCCCAAGAGGAGCTAATTTACAAAGGCTTAGTGAGGTTAAAAAAAATGGGGGGGAGAGAGGCAAAACAAATCTAGAAACCAAATCTTCATATCATGGTTTGGTATTCTTTCTACTTCATTAAAAGCAGCCATTAAAACATGTGTCCTTATCATTAGGCCTACACACTACATCAAGGGGGAAAAAAACTACCAATTGACAAATAATTCCTGAATGCCTAATAAATTCCTAATACCCAGCCTAAGTGCTAGAAATATAACAATAAACAAGAACAATATAACCCTTACCTTCAAAAAATTTAAGTCCTTTTTTTTAAAAATGTTTATTTATTTGAGAGAGAGACAGAGCATGAGCAGGGGAGGGGCAGAGAGAGAGGGAGACACAGAATCCAAAACTGGCCTCAGGCTCCAGCTGTCAGCAGAGCCTGACATGGGGCTTGAACCGAGGATCCATGAGCTCATGCCCTGAGCCGAAGTCAGACGCTTAACCAACTAAGCCACCCAGGCATCCCAAAATTCAAGTTCTAATAGGCAGAGGCAAAGGGGTATTAAAGAGCTGATTAATTTAAATAATGCATATAAGACACTCGGAATAAATGTCATACAGTAAGTGTTCAATAAAAATCAGCTATTATCAGCTGTAAATATTACCTTTAAATTTCTAAGTAATCAGCCTAATGTATACTAAGAAGAAAATCTTATTTGTCCAGATCTCTAAAAATCAAGACATTCTTTAGATGTTTTGGTACCAAATGACCTTACTTTTGATCAGCAGGTCAGCTTTTAAAGAACTACTCCCCTCCCCAATCTCTCTCTTATAGGCCTATCCAGAGGTAGACATGTCCAGTCAGTTTCCTTATACAGGAATCTGAATCACTGCAGAGGCAGCAGGAGATAAGAAATACCAGAAGTTCAGTTCATATGGCTGAGCTCCACATGGACCCATCTCTATCAGCGTTACCCTGGTTCCCATTCTTCCTGAGGTCTGCTCAGCTTATCCTTCAATTCTATCCTTCCAATAAGTCTCTTTTCTTGCTTAAGACAGCCAGACCTTGTGTAATCTTACAAAAAAACAAAAAACAAAAAACAAAAAACAAAACCCTGATATAGTTAGATAATGTAAAATCACTCTACAAAAAGGAGTGCTCCCAAACCCAAATGCCAAAAATCAAACTGAACATTATTAAAATGAGAAAACTTCACTATTTGTAAAGCATACCTCAATAAAACCTGGGGGGCAGGGGAGGTAGGATAACAGTGGGATGTGGGTATGTAATTTAAAAGCATAAATAGCACATTTATACTGGATAATAAAATATTTTTAGGTTATTTTCATATACATTGATTACATTATGTTCCAATACTAAAATGTTTACATAGAAAACACTTCTTAACATGTCTCAGTTTAAAGTAGTCCCATTTAGGGGCGCCTGGGTGGCTCAGTCGGTTAAGCGTCCGACTTCAGCTCAGGTCACGATCTCACGGTCCGCGAGTTTGAGCCCCGCGTCGGGCTCTGGGCTGATGGCTCAGAGCCTGGAGCCTGCTTCCAATTCTGTGTCTCCCTCTTTCTCTGCCCTTCCCCCGTTCATGCTCTGTCTCTGTCTCAAAAATACATAAACGATAAAAAAAAAAAAATTTTTTTAATAAAGTAGTCCCATTTTTTTAAAGTAGTCCCATTTAAAGCCAAGCTGCATTGACTGCAATGATTTTAAAATAAGATATGTTAATATCTAAAAACTGTATTACCGGTGAAATAAAGCTCACAACATAATGATCATATCTTGCTTTCAAGTTTATTGACAACACCCTACAGTACTTTGCTTAATTATTTGTTTTGCTTACATTTCCACTCTCTATTTAGTCTTACTTTGCAAGCAGCCTATATCACAGCAGGAAACCCCTTCAAAATGCAAACCTCTCCAGCTCCAGGAAAGACTGAAATTAGGACAGCCACACTTGCTCATGTTTTACATTATAAGAATTTAAGAACTGCCTTACTTGGCCATACCATGCTTCATTCATTAAAAAATCTCTAGCACAGGGGCTCCAAGGAACACATGAAAGAACTATGGTTGTCCTACTTGCCACCAATCGAAAAGCCTAAAGCACATGCCAAAATATATTCATTCACCTTAATAAACCCATACTGGATCTGAGGGGCGCCTGGATGGTTCAGTCAGTTAAGTTTCTAACTTCGCTTCAGTCATGACCTCATGGTCCATGAGTTCAAGCCCTGCATCAGGCTCTGTGCTGACAGCTCAGAGCTTAGAGCCTGGAGCCTGCTTCCAATTCCGTCTGCCCTTCTCTCTCTGCCCCTCCCCCCTCACACACTCTGTGTGTGTGTGTGTGTGTGTGTGTGTGTGTGTGTGTGTGTGTGTGTCTCACAAATAAACATTAAAAAAAAAATTTTTTTTTTAAATCCATACTGGATCTGTTACCATTAGTCCACCCTCACCAGTTTTGAGACATTTTATATTTTAAGATTAGTAAAAGGTATTAAAATAGAAGGACAGGGGTGTCTGGGTGGCTCAGTCAGCTGAGCGTTCAACTCTTGATATCGGCTCCAGTCATGATCTCCCAGTTTGTGAGATCCAGCCCCCCATCAGGCTCTGGGCTGTCAGCACAGAGCCTGCTTGGGATTCTCTCTCTCCCTCTCTCTCTCCCCCTCCCCCACTCGCACGCACACTCTCTCTCAAAATAAACATTAAACAAAAATAGGACAAATAATGAAAAAAGTAAACTGAACATCCAGGGGTACCTCAGTAGCTAGTCGGTTGGGCATCTGACTTTGGCTCAGGTCATGATCCCGGTTCATGGGTTTGAGCCCCGTGGTGGAGTTCTGTGCTGACAGCTCAGAGCCTGGAGTCTGCTTTGGAATCTGTGACTCCCTCTCTCTCTGCCCCTCCCCCACACGTGCTCTGTCTCTCAAAAAATAAATAAACCTTAAAAAAAATTCAAATTGCATGTGCACAGGTTATATGATAAACTCCACATATATTTCCTACCGCTGCCTTATTTGCAAATGAATGATTTGTTTCAACTTTAAACACTATAAAACTCAAAGTTTTGCTCCTGTAACTTTCAGATTTAGCCACTTTATAATAGATACCCTTTTATCTAGCAACTTCCAACATTAAACTCAAACCTGTTACCTCTTTCTCCAGTAAAAATTAATCAACTTTATAGTGGGGCTTTTAGAACTACTTCTTAAATTATCCTACTATAATGGCCTCTGGCAGCCAGCCTAGGTAGGTACCTTACATACCAGCAAGCATCAAAATCAAATTTAAACTACTTCAATTCCACTTAAATTCAATACTGAGTGTCTCCCAACAGTGTTTCAAGCAAACAGAGATGATCTAAAACTTGATGTTTCAACTCTCATTGCTTCTTCTTCTAGTGTAGGGAAACAAACATAAGTAATTCAAGTTTGAACACAGTATCTGTATAGAAAGCCAAAAATAAAATACACCCAAATGAAAACCTTGTTTTGCAACATTAATATTCCAGCTTCCCAGCCTCTTTGCAATTTAAGTTTTAATTACCACATAAGTTCCCATTTCTACAACAAGACCCAAAATATTTACAAGATGAACAAGAGTAAAGCCCAACAACATTCACCTACCCAACATTTGGCAATCCAACAATACCAATTTTCAAGGAGGTTCCAAATCTTCCAATGATTGGGGGTGGTTTAATCCCATCACCTCCCTTTTTGGGGGGCATCTGAAATGTCAAAACATATATATAAACAAAATCTTTTACTATCCCCATTAACCAAAAACATTTCATCACACAAAAGATATTACTGAATAACAGATTTAAAATAAAACATACTGTATATACCAATCCAAAACTGACACAGAGCTAAATCCACTTTATTTTTTAAAAAGTATTTTAAAAGTTCTAGAAACAGGTCTGATTCTGATAGTTGTCAAAGCAGTCACTCCTAAGAAGTCCCAGAAAGATTAATCTAAAAATATGTGACACCATAAATCAAAAATAAAATTTAGCTGCCAATCTTCCATCCATATTGTTCACAAAATTCTTTCTTTCTTAACCCGATATAAGGTCACAAGAATGAAAGCATTCAGAAGCAGGAATAGAGAAAAGAGAGTCAAAGAAAATCCATTCTAGTACAACCTGCAACCAAGTCACCTCCCCCCAAACCACTCCTCGCACCTGGAACCCATTCTTTCCCATTTTCCCCACAAGCACCATTTTCACACGGATGAGCACACACCAGTATCAGAGTCTTGGAGACCACGTCTCTCCCACCTTTGGCACTGTAGATACGACTCAAGGGTCCTCATAAGCAACCTCCAGAATCTACGCTCTGGTTATTTCTAGTTCTAAATGAATCCACTAACTCTTTTTATTTACAAACTGAAACTTTCTAGGTCCCTGCTGATCTGGCTCCAAGTTCCTCCGTGCAGAATTAATCCCACTTTACTACTGCAAGCTGAACTCATGAGGACTGCTAACCTCACGTTCTACAAACTAGGAACTAAAACTGTCCCTGTCTTCTGGCGCCTGCTGAACCTCCAGCGGCCACACTGACGCCCTGCTCACAAGTGGTATTCCATCCAGCCTCTTGATCTCTGACCCCTAGGGCCAGGGACCTCCCTTCTCGGGGTCTTAACTCACACCTGTTCCCAGCTTCAAAGCCCAGGCCTCTGCAAGAGCAGAGCCTCTCCAGTCCTCTGGCCTCCTACCGAGGGGTGGCCGGCAGCCCAGCCAAAGCGGGCCTCCACCCAACATCTACCCCCCGTGGACTGGGCCACTGGCCATCCGGCCTCTCAAGAAGGCTTTCCCCAGTGTGCCGGGCGGAGGCGTGGGCCGCTCTCGGGACGCGCGGCCTAGTCCAAGAGCGCCTCATTCATCCACACAGCACACGTTTCCCGCTGCCCTCGCCCATCCCGGCCACCCGGCCACCCGGCCCTGGCCTCACACCGGCCTCAGGGCCACGAGCTGGGGCGCCGAAGACTCGGCGGAGGGGGCACCCGCGGGCTCGCTGAGGGACTCACCGTGCTCGGGGCGGGCGATGACACGGGGTCCCAGCGGCAGGGTACACGGGTACTGCCGGCAGCGAGAGGAAGGGAGGAAGGAGGAGAAAGCGTAGGCCCGGCCCCTCCGCCGAGCAGCACGCACGACGGCGGTGGCGGCTGTAGCAGCAGCGACGGCGGCGGCGGCGGCGGCGGCGGCGGCGGCGGCGGAACGGGCGGGCCGGGCGCCGGGCGGCACCTGCGCGCAGATCGCGCGCCCCGCCCCGCCCCGCCCCTCGCTCCTGCCCACCCGGTCCATTGGCCCGACGAGCCGGGAGGCGGGAGCAGGGTGGGAGGAGTCGCCAGGCGCCCGAGCAGGCGGGAGGAGGAGCCGGAGCTGGAGCCCGTCTGACTGTCTCCCCAACTCATCCCCCCACTCCCGCTCCGCTGGCCCCGGGAGCGCGCGTCTTCCGCCTTCTCAGCACGTGGAGCTCCTGGGACCCAGGTCTCTGCTTCCCTCCCGGAGCGCGCCCGGCGTTGCCGCACACGCTCATTCGTTGGCCTGCAGCCGCACATTTCACCCGCTGGACCTCGAAGCGCCCTCGGCCAGACCGCCCGCCCCGAGACGGGTTTCACGAGGTCTGGCAAACAGCCGTGCCAAACCTGCGGACCTCCTGGCTGCTAACCGAGTCCTCCGGGGCCAAGACCCCAGCTTGCCATCCTTTTCTTATAACTTTCTTGAGTCAACCCAAATGGTGAGAAGCTGTGAAATAAACCTAACTAAAGGGGGGGAAAAAAAGGGGGGCCAAGGGAAGCTTGTGATCTAAGGACTCCTTGATCACTTTATTGTCCAGGCGTTTTACAGGCACTGGATCAAAGAATGCATTTAATAGAGCCAGTTTCCCCTACTTTTCCTCTGGATGGTTATGAGCAAGGGGCTTTGGAATTTGGGAAACAGGTTCCCATCTGGATTCCACTACTTGTGACCCTGGACAAAGTAACCTCTCTGAGCTTTAATTTCCTCTTTGATAAAAGTGAGACTATTGAGACCCACCTTAGGAGGTTATTATGAGGATAAAACGAGATATGTGTAAAGCTTACAACAACAGTACCTGGCACATACAGGAAGGGCTCATAAGTAGTCCATAAAGGGTATTGTTAATATTAGGGTTTCATCCGATCTCACGCACACATACTACACCATGAGCTCCATCTGTAGAAGGAATTCCGTCTGTAAACTTTGAAGTATTTGTTGCAATGAATGTAATACCTTTCCTAAAATTGTGACCCTAGAAGCTTCTTTCAAGGAGACTAGTTCATGGGGCGCCTGGCTGGCTCAGTGGTAGAGCACGTGACTCTTGAAATGGGGCTGGGGGCGGTTGTAAGTTGGAGCCCCTTGTAGAGACTACTGAAAAATAAAAAAGCAAAGATATTCATAATAAAGGGAAAAAATATGAACTGGTTGCTATCCCCATTTTATAGATGAGGGAACAGTATCAGAAAGGCAATGTAATTTGGATGTCACACAACTAGTAAATGACAGAGGCCAGATTTCAGACCCAATCTAACTGAAAGATTTGTTCCCTTTAAGCCAAGTTTTTTTTCTAATATAAACTCCTTATAAGCAACAACTGAGCCATTATTTATAATAAAATTGCATTACGGTTTTTTTAATCTTTTTTAAGTTTATTTATTTATTTTGAGAGAGAACAAGTGGGGTAGGGGCACAGAGAGAGGGGGACAGAGGATCCAAAGCAAGCTTTGTGCTTACAGCAGAGAGCTGATGGCAGGGCTCGAACTCACAAACCATGAGAGCATGACCTGAGCCAAAGTCAGACATTTAATTCACAGAGCCAGCCAGGAACCCCAGCATTAAGGTTTTTCATAGCCCTATGAAAATGATCTAGTGAGGTAGGTTAAAAAGCTGCTTCTGTAAATTTGGAATTCTCAAAGACACAGGCAACTTGATTTGATTTTTTTTAATATCATTCATAAACATGCACTGTTTATATTCTCTCAATCTAGCTCCTTTGTTGCCAGGACCATGCATTTTTAAATTTTTTTTTTTAACGTTTATTCATTTTTGAGAGACAGAGCATGAGCAGGGGAGGGGCAAAGAGAGAAGGAGATACAGAACCTGAAGCAGGCTCCTGGCCCTGAGCTGTCAGCACAGAGCCCAATGCAGGGCTCGAACCCACAAACCATGAGATCATGACCTGAGCCGAAATCAGACGCTTAACTGACTGAGCTACCCAGGTGCCCCTGAAGCATACATTTATAAAACAGGGATCTGAGTACACTCTAGCTATGAAACAGAGGGGAGCTAACTAGCCCACATTTTGTACCCACTATCAGTATAAAATTATGACTAGTCCTAGCAGAGTAATTCCTAATTATTTACTGCTGTTTTAGTGGTGAGGTTCTATAGTTGGTTTTCACACTGCTGCTTATGGAAACAGAGAGGAACCATTACTTAAAAAGCTGAAAAATCCCAGAGAGCCTGCTCTGCCCAGCAACCAGCCACTCCCTACTAATTGAAAGTGTTCCCCAGTCGTGGGGTAGTAGAATCATCTTCAACTTATCACTGTCTTTGAGCCAAATATAGCTACTTTTTCAATCTCAGTATCTCTCACATCTACCCATTCCCTTCAATTCACACTATCAAGTCCTTGAGTCAATCATCTGTTTTTCTATTTGCAGTTACATCTTTCTTGCTTGCACTTTTGACCACCTTTAAAGTGTCTTGACAAAGCAGGTCACACAGATCTCAGTGAGCTAAGCAGACTTTCAGGAGAGGCCATTTGCTACTGCTGAGTTACCTGATAACAGGACTCCATTTCCAACTCAGTCACTGGGGGTCAATTCATATTAACAAGATAGAGAATCTCACAGGCCCAGTTTAGGTAAAGTTCTAGCAAGGGCCCAGTCAGCCTTGGCCAAGTAGGTAGAGGTCATATAGTGGAAACAGCCCTATGAATGACCTTTACTACTAAAACAGGCAGTTCTCAGGAAAGATCCTCACAGGCTATCTACTATTCCACATGACAAATGAAGACTCAGTGAGACAAACAGGATAATAACTTTAGGGGGGAAGGGAACCATTTGCAAAAAAGAAAGTACCCCAGGGAATGGGAGAAGTGGGGAGGTTTTGGTCAAAGGATACAAACTTGCAGTTAGAAGATAAGTTCTGGGGATCTAATGCACAGCCTTGTGATTATAGTTAATACCATATTATATACTTGAAAGTTACTAAAAGACTAGATCTTAAATATTCTCATAAAAAAGAAATGATAATTGTGTGAGGTGATGGAAGTGTTAGCTAGGGCTGTGGTAGTAATCATATTATATTTGTATATCAAATCAACACTTTGTACACCTTAAACTTAAATAGTTATATGTCAACTATGTCTCAATTTTTTAAGGTACGCTATCCAGTTATTAAGTAGCATTCTTTCTCTGTTACCTACATCACATTTTTCTCTCTACATTAAACTTCTATCATATATCCAGTGTCTAGAAAATAGTCCCCATATATTTAGAATATCCTATTCTTCACTTTTTGTTGTTCATATAAAATTATTTTCTTGTTTTTTTATTTTTTATTTTTTTTTATTTTTTTTTTTAGCGTTTATTTATTTTTGAGACAGAGACAAAGCATGAACGGGGAGGGTCAGAGAGAGGGAGACACAGAATCTGAAACAGGCTCCAGGCTCTGAGCTGTCAGCACAGAGCCCGACGCGGGGCTCAAACTCACGGACCGGGAGATCATGACCTGGGCCGAAGTCGGCCGCTTAACCGAATGAGCCACCCAGGCGCCCCAGTAAAATTATTTTCTTAAATACCTACCCCATGCCACTGCTCTAGGCTTTGAAACAGTGAAGAACAAAATAAATATGCTCTTTGCCCTCAAGGAGCTTGCAATCTGTTAGATAAACAAGTCATTATACAAATAACTATATAAGAACCTGGTAAAAAATCTATAGGATGCCTAGCTAACTTGTATTACAATTTGAAGATGTGTAATAACCCACCTTGATTGTCCTTACTTTCAGGACTTCTTATGAACCAGGCAGTGCTTAATCATCCCCTTTCTCTGTTTCATGAAAAACAGTACACACACTGCAAGGCATCAGCAAAGAAGGTTTTTAGTTTTCATTCTTCCACTTAACAGAGCATGATTTTGAATTTTTGCAACTGGACCGTAAGTTACCTGTGAAGCAAAACTTATGTTTAATCAACTGTTCTCTCTTCTGGAATTACTCGTAGTATTTAAAAGAATGCTGACTAATTAAACAGTCCAGGGTGCCTGGCTGACTCAATCAGAAGAACATGTGACTCTTGATCTCGGGACCTTGAGTTGGAACCCCATGTTGGGTGTAGGTGATTACTTAAATAAATAAAATTTTAAAACAAATACATAGGGGCGCCTGGGTGGTTCAGTCGGTTGAGCGTCGGACTTCGGCTCAGGTCATGATCTCGCCATCTGTGAGTTCGAGCCCCATGTCGGGCTCTGTGCTGACAGCTCAGGGCCTGGAACCTGCTTCCGTTTCTGTGTCTCCCTCTCTCTCTGCCCCTCCCCCACTTTCACTCTGTCTCTCAAAAATGAATACATGTTTTAAAAAATTAAAAATAGGGGCGCCTGGGTGGCGCAGTCGGTTAAGCGTCCGACTTCAGCCAGGTCACGATCTCGCGGTCCGGGAGTTCGAGCCCCGCGTCGGGCTCTGGGCTGATGGCTCGGAGCCTGGAGCCTGTTTCCGATTCTGTGTCTCCCTCTCTCTCTGCCCCTCCCCCGTTCATGCTCTGTCTCTCTCTGTCCCAAAAATAAATAAAAACGTTGAAAAAAAAAATTTTTTTTAATAAAAAAGAAAGCACCGAAGAAAACTGATCATTTTCTAGTAATACGTAATGGTCTTATAAAATGAGAGCTTATGAAAATACTATTTTTATTAACCTTTACAAGACACTTAATGTTCTAGTCATGGAAAGGGAAGATTACTTACCGAAGGGTGTCATAAGAGTTTCATCAATTGAACTGGAAATTGGGGGATGTTGCACATAGGCCTAGGTTACCGAACTTACAGCCTCTCCTACTAACTAACACGAGCTCTGCATAATATTTCCCCTTCATTACAGTTTTGAACTTGTGTTGTTCATTTCAAAGAATAGGGTACTAGTCAGGATAGG